AAGCTATGAAGTGGACGCCAGCGAGAGCCGCTCACTCCGAGTTTTGAGTAGTTTCGGAAATGACACGGTGAATTTTGAGGGCTCTGAAAATAAGGAAACCGTTGAGTTACGCAAATCGTCGGCACGTATTACTGGAACCTGGTTCGAGACGCTGATCTACGGTACCGAGTCCATCTCATTTACAGGAGGTGGAAATGAAGACTTGGCGCGATTCTATGACACTTCCGGAGACGACCAGTTTCAAGCAGAACCCTTCATCGCCTCGATGTCAGGCGAAGGGTACCACAATCTGGTGAAAGAAGTCCATCGAATCTATGCCTACATGACCGAAGGTTTTGACACGGCCTCGTTCATTGGCCAGGCAAACGTCCGAGACAACTTCAACGCTAGTCCCGAAGAAGCAAGACTTTACAACAAAGACTTCTACCTGAGCGCCCGTGGATTTGACGAAGCCCATAGCACGGCAACGGATACTCTAGACCGAGCCTACTTGTATGCCTCTGAGGGCGATGACTATCTGTCGCTGGTCGATGATGAGATTGAACTCAGGGGAGACAACTTTACCCTGCACACATCGAACTATAACTATGCTCGCGTTTCTGCCAACCAAGGTGGGTTAGACGAGGCACACCTGCGAGGGACGAATTTAAATGACTATTTGCGAAGTCGACCTACTGAGGCAACTTTCGATTACGGTAAGCGTCGATTGATTGCTGGTGGATTCGAGCGAATCGTCGCTGTTGCAAGCACGGGCAACGACACAGCTGACTTTTATGATTCGCACTACACAGACGTCTTTAGTGCTGATTCCGAGCGAGCCTCGATTAAGAATGCAATCAATGAAACGACAGCCATTGGATTCAAGCAAGTCAACGCTTACATGGAAGCCGGGGGCGACGATTCTGCAACCATTGGTGGCAGTAAGGCTGCTGATCGTTTTCAGGTCTCGCCTACCGATTGGACGATGCAAGGAAATGGAAGCTTCCTGTTCGGCTCTGGCTTCACCAACGTCACTTGCCATGGAGAGTCACACGACAAGATCTATCTTTATGACTCGTCTGGAAACGACAAGCTGGAGATCCGAGAAGATCGCGTCACCATGAGCGGTCAACGTTTCTCGAACACGGCGATCGGTTTCGGCAAGGTCAATAGCGAGGCTTCCACTGGCAACGACCATNNCCGCACGTTCAACCATCCGCCTGAACGAAGAAAAGGCGACCATTTTCGGACGAGGTTTCAGCTACAACGCGACTGGCTTCGACGGAATTGATGCCTACTATTCGACGCTCGATGGCAAAGACAATGTCGATCTGGATGGCAACATAGAATATGACCTGCTGGCAACAGACCTGGCCGAAGCTCGCTATCAGTTGAGCTTGGCATTGACTTCCGATTCCGATCGCATCACGCAGAAGTCACGTGTGAAAAAGCTACTGTGAGGGGAGCTGTCAGGGATGACGATGATTCCACCGATGCATGACGACTAGCGAGTTGCGGCACGCTAGAGTTATGCATCGGCTGGAATCACCATCTTTTTTTCAGCCACTTTTCGGGGCGTTACAGATAATACCCCAAAGCAACTTCCCTCACTGTCATTCTTTCCGGAACATCTTACAGCCCGTGACACGGTAAGAACGCCACCTTCTTCCCGCTGCCCTTCTGGCAAAACCTCTGGGCATCCACAAATGCCGTAAGAAATACAGGTTCGTCAGTAATTGTTCCTGTCTTTTTCGATTGGCACTCCATCCGCAATAGGTCGTATCGAGCCGGCATCTGGAGCCGGTGACATCTCCTCTCAAGAAACGACACCTGGAGTTCTCATCGATGGCCAACACAACGAATCAGTCTGAAAATCCAAACGGCATCTTCTCCTCGGCAGACGAATACTATCGATCGCCACGACCTTCGATCCGACCCTATGCCTCGCCTACGTACTCGTTCATCATCCCCGTGATGAACGAAGAAGCGACTCTTGAAGAGCTCACCATGGGGATCTTTGCCAACGTTCCTGATGCTGATGCGACCGAGATCATCTTCATCGACGATGGCAGTACCGACAGCTCATGGACCGTGGTTCAGGCACTCGCTGATCTGTACCCCAACAACATCCGTGGTCTTCGATTCCGCTGTAATCGAGGTAAGGCCAATGCTCTGCAGACCGGTTTTGGTGCTGCTCAAGGTGAAATCATCTTCACTATGGACGCGGATCTGCAGGACGACCCCAACGAGATTCCACGATTTCTAGAAAAGCTCGAAGAAGGATACGACCTGATAAGTGGCTGGAAAGCAGTCCGTCATGATCCATGGCACAAGGTCCTGCCAAGTCGAATCTTCAATCGCATGCTCAGCTACTTCAGCCGTGTCAAGCTTCACGATCACAATTGTGGATTCAAGTGCTACCGCCGTGATGTTGCCAAGTCGATCCATCTATTTGGCGAGCTACACCGAATGGTGCCTGCGTTGGCCGGTATGAATGGATTTCGGGTTACGGAAATTGTGGTCGAACACCATGCTCGCAAGTGTGGTCAATCCAAGTATGGCATCGAGCGTTTTATTCGTGGTTTTAGCGATATGCTGACCATCGGTTTCCTACGCGTCTATCGCGAGCGGCCAAGTCACTTCACCAACGCTTGGGCAGTTGTCTATGGTGCAATCGCGTTTGCCATTGCAGCTGGCGGCCTTTACCACGGCCCTACTACGCTCGCTGGCTTGATTTGCTTCCTGGCTGCGGTCTGCTTCATTGGGATGGCCGGTGCTTGCATGATCGCTGGACTGATGAGTGAACTGATCATTCGACAGAACCGTGAAAAGGACGCTCGTACGTTCGTCAATCGAGACACACGTTCGGAACTGGATCTGACTCAATTGAAACAGCACAAGTCCGAACAGGAGTCCAGCGTTTCTTCTTACGAACTAGCGACCACTTCTTAAGCCAACTCTCTCTTCCTCTGGAAAGCATGCAACAACTCAGGAACTGACACCATGTCCGAACAAACAAAACACATTCTGGTTATTACATCGACTTACCCGCGTCATGAAGAAGACTATGCGGTGCCTTGGATGCGAGAGATCCACCGCCAGTTGAAGGACGA